ACATTAATAAGAAATTGAACCATGATAATAGCACATTACTTACTTTATAAAAGTTGAACACAAGATCCAGCTCGCAGACGTTGTGGAAATATTCATTCAAAACTTCCACAAAGTTATGGATTGCTTCAAGATAGCAAAGGTTGTTATCATTAACATCCACACAGATGCAAAAATAAAGACCAGCATATCTCCTATAGACTATTTTGAAATTGCGGAACTGCAAAACAAACAAATGTTTAATTTAATCTTGCTGCCAGAATAAGGAAAGTTTATTGATCATAGAAAGCAACAATTACCTCAACAAAATTAGTGTGCTTCGCATCCCTCACAGTCACAACGGCATGCACCTCCTCTATAAGCTTCTGCTTTTCATCATCATCAAAGTTCATGTACCACTTTGCCAAACGGGTCTTTCCTGCTCTATTTTGTATGAGAATGAAGCGAATCTGCAGCAAGAAAAAAGATTAGAGATGTCTTAATGAAGAGAAAGAATCCAATAAGTTCAAGAGGAACAGAACATCAATTTTTCTTTAAAATCTAAGGAAAAAATCGCGGCATATACAATACGACCAATAAGACCAAACATTTAAGTTATGACAATGAATAAAATACACGAAGTGATAACATGTGATTAAAAAATTGAAAAAGGGTTGCAACGGATTATTTGAAGTTTGACAGACGGACCTAACCAAAAACAACGTCACATCATTGGAACAGACAACGATAGAATTGACGGTGAATATCTCCCGCAAATATACAAGGAAACATGAATAGCTATTGGATCCATTTCTAAAGTTTCAATTAACACATACCATTTTGTGGTGCAAAGATTAGGTGAAAATATCGTGAAAACGAATGAATCAAAGGGGTGAACGCCTTCTTTTAGCTGTCACAGCCTTTGAAAATCTACAGTTTTATTTATTTGTTCTACACTTTCACCAACTTAAGAACGTAAACGATTGATGCATAACTGAGCCTTTTGAGACTGCTTTTCGAATTTCCCTCTGATCAAGTAAAAGGAATTTGAAATATATTGAAGACTTTTAATAAAATGAGACTTGGGACCGCTTGTGTGATATATATTTTTTTTATTGCAGATTTTGACCTCTCGACAACCCTGTACCGGAGTCGAAGTCGAAACCGAGTCGAGTTGCGGAACAGGCAAGTTTGTTTTGTTTGGAGGCTCCACTTCCCCGTATTTCGTCAATTATTCGTATCTTATTCCGTATTTATCTTTTGACAGGAATTGAAAACCGACTCTTTGGAGTGCCCTTTCTTTTATTAGATTCAATTCACTCATCTTTTTTTAAAGCCGGAGGCATAATGGATGAGCCACCACCCCCCGGTGGAGAGGTTAGTCGTTTAAACTTGCTGTTTTTGTCTTATATGTATCGAAATACTTTGTTACCTTTGTTACGAAGTTATGTATGTCTCATCACATTTTATTATATGCTTCAACCATTACTCTTGTGTGTATTAGAAGTAGTTCTGACTAGCTATCAAGTGTTCCTTTTAACCTCTTCTTATGCCAACATCTTGGTATCTTTGAAGGCCTATTCAGATAATTTTTCTTGATGTTCTTTCTTGAACAACATTTCTCACTTTTGGGAGATTTTATTTATTTTTTCTAGTGATATTGTTTCTCTTCTGATTTCTAACAAGATTCTACTTTATTTTTTACAGATTCCAGGCCTGATGATGGTTGATCATGTAAGTATACATATCGTTGCATGTATAGTGCTGTTTGGCTCCAATGTGGTCCCATTGCTGGTCCCATTTGCTTTGCTGAAAGTTTTTATCCCCTATTAAATCTCTTGCTCTTATTATTGGACTTTGCCCTTGATTGTGAAATAACAAGAAGCCTTTTTTTGTTTTGTCAGATGATGCCCCCCGGAACTGGACCGTATGGCATGGCAGACATGGGGCCTCCAGGTAAATAGCCCGTTTAAATATAGAATGTACGATTTCTTGTCAGTAGTTTTTATGTGTGCCGTTTTGAATGCAGGAATGATGACAGCACCACCACCACCTTCATTGGGAATGACTATGCCACCTGGTGATGAGGCATATGAGGTATTTATTCTTTAAAAATGTAACTTAGTCAGTATAACATAATTACATTAGTTAAATGAACTACTTTTGCTTCTTTTCTTTCAGTCCCTTCTTCCACCTGGTGTAGAAGATGATGACACTCCCATGGCTCCTCCTCCACCATCATTTATACGTGAAGGCAGCCCTGAGGATGACTTGAGACTTCCTCAAGCACTAGAGCAAGCACTGGCCTATAAAAACCAACGGGCCCAAGCCCTAGGAGTTGATGAAGACGATTTTAATCAAATTGGTGGGTTTCACAACATATCTGGGTTGAAATAGGGTGAAATAATTGTATTGTAAACCTGGCCTCTTTATATTTTAGATAAAGAGTATGACATCCCGGAAGCTCCTCCAGCCCCTGTTATCTCACAAGATGACGACTATGATGAGGAAGAGGATAATGATGATTCAAATAAAATTTCTAAGGAAGGAAAACTTACCAAAGTGAGCACTTGTAGCATGTTTGGCTGGTACTTTTTAAATTTTTTAACATTTACTTTTATGTTTTTTTTGCAATTTTTGTTATTTTTAGGAGGAAATGAGAATCAACAAAAATAAAAGAAAGAAGAAGAAGAAAAAGCAGAATAAACAAACTCAAAGAATTCAAAAGCAAGAACAAGAGCTAAAAGAGAGTGAGCGGGAGAAGACAGATGAAGAGACTGGAGAGAAAGATGTAGATGTTGAAATAGAGTAAGTTACAATGCTGTTTTTTTTATCTGTGTGCATATTTATTCAAGTCTTGCTGTAATTGTGCTCATTGATTCCTTCAGGTACATTCAAGAAGTTCTAGGGTTAAATGATCTTGATCCAATGTACCGTCATTTTGCCAAAGTTTTTGAAACTTTCCGTATTACTGAACCTGATAATCAAGTAAAGCTAGAAGAGATAAAAGAAGAACCTGTTGTAGAGTTTAAGAAAGCACCCAAACCAATTGATGAATATGATGATGAGGAAGATGAAGAGGTAAGAGATCAGGTATTTTTTGTGATAGTATTAAATTCCTCATACTTAGTAATGTTGTATACTTTCTGTTTAGAAAAAACAGGATGAAAAGAAAAAACTATCAAAGAGGAAACTGAAAAAACTGACACGGTTGAGTGTAGCTGAATTGAAACAACTTGTATCCAGACCAGATGTCGTAGAAATGCATGATGTCACAGCCAGAGATCCCAAGCTGCTTGTGCAGTTGAAAGCCCACAGAAACACTGTCCCTGTTCCTAGACATTGGTGCTTTAAACGAAAGGTATAAATCTGTTATTATTAACTAGAGGGTAATACCTATTGTTGTGTTGAGTGTCATTAATTTGGTGTCAATGTTATTCTTTCAGTACTTACAAGGGAAACGTGGTATTGAAAAACCTCCTTTTGATCTGCCTGAATTTATTAAGAAAACAGGCATTATGGAAATGCGAGCAGCACTACAAGAAAAAGAAGACCAGAGAACACTTAAAGCCAAGATGAGAGAAAGATCTAGGCCCAAATTAGGCAAAATTGACATTGATTATCAAAAGTTACATGATGCATTTTTCAAGTAAGCCCCAACCCTCATTCAATATGTTGTAAATCTGTAATGTCAAATTTTAGTATAATAACCTAACCAACCCTAATTTAATTTTCAGATGGCAAACTAAGCCCCGAATGACAATTCACGGGGATTTGTATTATGAAGGGAAAGAATTTGAAACAAGACTTAAAGAGAAGAAACCAGGAGATTTGAGTGATGATCTAAGAACAGCTCTGGGAATGCCTGTTGGTTCCAGTGCACATAAGGCAAGTTGTTATTAAGAACTATCTTTTCACGCTACAAATTTTAACTGAACTGCTGTAAATTTTAGGTCCTGTTTGGTTTTTGGCTTATTGTTTGTTTATTGCTGTGATTCACTAGTTACTTACTCTTTATTTTTCCTCGCAGGTTCCTCCCCCATGGTTGATTGCTATGCAGCGGTATGGCCCTCCTCCATCATACCCTAACTTAAAGATTCCTGGCCTCAATGCACCTATTCCAGATAATTGCTCATTTGGTTACCATGCTGGTGGCTGGGGTAAACCTCCAGTTGATGAATCAGGAAAGGCATTGTATGGTGATGTTTTTGGTCAGCAGAACCGAGATTATCAGGTACTATAATGTCTTCCTCTACCTAGCTCAAGTAGTTAGTAGAACATAATGTGTTTGTTTAGATTCAGTAACCAAATTTGTTTCTAAAAATATGTTTGATGTCTTTCACAGAATGACGCACTTGAAGAGGAAGTAGATCGTGCTATTTGGGGAGAATTGGAATCAGAATCTGAGGAAGAGGAATCAGAAGAAGAAGAAAGTGAAGCAGAAGAAGAGGGAGAGGATCAGACAGGTCTTGTTACACCTGCTGAAGGTCTAGTTACACCAAGTGGTATGGCTTCTATACCTACTGGTCTGGAAACACCTGAGATCATTGAACTGAGAAAGAGGAAAATAGAAAGTGAGATGGATGGGTAAGTTTATTCAATACTAACACTTTTAAGGCTATTTATTTGAAGTATAGATCAGCACTGTACCAAAATTTCATTATTTGCAGAGGAGACACGCCTGCTCAACTTTATCAGGTGCTACCAGAGAAACGGGTGGATCGGGTGTCTGGTGCAATGATGGCTTCAACTCATATATATGATATGGCGGGAACAAGTGCACCCAGGGAGGGTGTTCCAATTGTCCAGCCTCGAGGACGTGTCCAGCTTCCAGGAATGTCAGATCAAGCGGTTGAACTTGCTTTAGATCCTTCAGAACTGGATCTAGTGGACACTGAGGCAATGAAAGCTCGATATGAACAACAAATCAGAGAACTGAGTCATTTACAGAAAGAAGATCATTCGGATATGTTGGCTGACCATTTAGCAAGACAAAAGGTACGTAGTTCTGGACTAGTCAATTTGATTTTACATTTATGTAATTCAGACAAGTAATGTACACTTTAATCTTTACAGAACAAGAGGAAGAGGCAGCAGACACAGTCCGATAAACAGACTAAGAAATATAAGGAATTCAAATTCTAAGAAAGAAAATTTAAATATATTGGTATGTACATGTATCACAACCTCAAAGCCCTCATGGCTCTCAAAAATCATTCCCCCTTACTGTGAATTTGTTTTTTTCACAATTTGATGAATTGTGTATTGTCAATTGTTTTCCCCCTTAATTACATTGAGCTGTTGCTAATACACTCTCAAACCATGTAAATTTTACTTAACTTTTTATTTAAAAAAAATATAAAATAAAGCTCTAAACCATATATCACCAGTCAAAATCAGTCCCAAGGCTATCTAGAGGGAGCACTTCCTGCATCTTGACGTACATGAAAAATAAAAAAAGAAAAAAAATCAAAAAATACAACAAAAATTGGACAATTTTAAGGTTTTAAATCCCCTATTTTTACCTGATTTCCTCCAAAATACATTCAGCTTCTCTCCATCCTGTTTCAATTGCTCCATGCACAGTAGAAAAGAAGTGTTCATGGGTTGCTTCTCCTGCAAAATGCACCACCTGAGGAGAAAATGAAATATTTGAGATGTGAAATTTATTTTCATTTCATATATGTACTGTAATATGTAAGTTGAGTGCAAGATTATTAACTTACCTTTCTGTTTTTTCTGTTTTTGAGTGGTTCAGCCAGTTGCTTAGCATTCACATTCATTTTTTCTGTGTTCATACTTCGAAAACTGTAAGATCCTCTGAAGTGAGGATTACTGTACCACTTTGATCTTTGGAATGTCATAAAAACATACAAAAAGATTAATTGCAATTTTATACTGATTTTTTGCTCCCATCAAAAATACTGCACACACCTAGCAATTGCCTGAATTTTTGGAATATTGTAGCATTGACCAAGAAATTGAGAAAGTAACTCTTGACAGCTCTCAACTACCTCTTGATCTGAACAAGACTCCATCATCCTAGCACCAGGTCCAACAATCCAGCCACACAGTACTCCTGGTTGATGAAGGTCTTTGTAAAATCCAAACACTTTTTGCATCCACAGTTTTTTCTAGAAAATTAAATGCATGTGGATAACAACATTGCTAACATTTTGACCTCCGGAAAGCATGCTAGGAAGTTAACTTACCTCATTGTTTTTATATTTCTCTTGAAATATTTTTTTATCCTCTTCAGACCACAATAAACTAAAACCATGAATATTCTCAGGCCACCAGGTTTCAGGAAATTTCAAAAATATTTTATCTACTGCACCAATTGAGAGTCCCTGTACAAATAGCATTACAAAAGTTGAAGTTGCAGTACCGCTTACAAGTAGTTTGATGTGATATTTTATATTTTACAAACATTAATGGCATCCAGTTTTGGCCTGGGAAGAGAAGGAGAAAACAGTTGTGGAGCTTGCTCTTTCAGAACACCTAAGGAAATAGTCACAATGACATGATCTGTATCATATTGTGAACCATCTTGACAGTAAACTGAGACAGGAGCTCCATTTACTTGATCCCATAAGATTCTAGTTACAACTTTCTCAGTCAAGATTTTAGAACTAATAGGAATAGATAACGAAGGGTTTGGATACTTGTTCTGTAAAACTTGAAAAATTAGTACATTTCAAATGTTAAAGTTCATAAACGTTCAAATCCTATTATATAATCTTACCATCAACAAGTCCAACACTTTGCTGTAACCACCCTGTTTCCACACCAAAACTGGGTCTCCCTCACATTCAACATACTGAGTGTGCCCAGACCCTGATGTTTCAAACCATGAGTCAGAGCCATCAATTGAATTTTCAAACTGATGAAACCATTCCAAAAATTCATGTGTCAGGGCACTTGTTAAATTTTTTGGAGATGTTTCTTTCTTCACGCGCTTATGAAATCTGAATTATGACAAGGAAATTTTAGTTTTTCGAAACAACTAAGTAGCATCAAATAATAATAATAATAATTATGAACCACAGTAATTACTTACTCAGATGTGACATAATCCCCCAGGGAAAGGCGGTAGTTTTGAAGCTCCTTCCCAGCCTCATCTGTTATATCTAAACACATACCGAAAAGCCATGAACCAACATTTGAATCAACCATTTGACCAGAGGATTTAAAAAAGGTCATATTGTTGTACAATTCCATAGATGACTCTAACAAATCCAGCGGATGAGCCATGTCATACACTACATTTCCTTTCTCTCCATGACAAAATTGCGCCCCCAGATCAACAACACCATCCCCTAAAATAAAGTAAGAAGAAATTATTTTCAAAATACTTAATGCACATGGTTGAAACAAAATGCATGTAAGGTACTGACCAAAAGGAACAGTGTGAATTCTTCCACCAATCCTATTTTCTGCTTCAAGCAACACAATTTTGTCGACACCTTTTGTTAAGAGACGAGTTGCTGCTGCAATGCCAGATGGCCCAGCACCAACGATGACCACTTGTAAAGGCGCCATTCTAGAGACCTTCAAGTAAACACAAAATTACACACATATTATACGGCCATCACATACAAACTAGTTCAACCAAACAAACAAAATTCTTACAGAATGAAATGCTAAGCTGCACAAGAAACAAAAATGCTTGAAATGACGAGCTAGAAAGTGTAATGTCAAAGCTTGTCAAAGTCAAAATGCTGCAAAAGTGCTTGTAAAGATCCTTCAGATAAGATGATAGGAAATCTTTACGACTACTTTTCAAGACTAATTGACTTTCAGTTGATATGGCTCATTTTAACGAGTTAAGAAACAATTACATATGATCATTGTCAAATAAAACAAGGTATGTAACGGTTTTGGATTTGCTTTACCGGCCATATGAGATAAGAGATGCCTTTCTGCTACTTTTCTTCTGCTAATGTTGTCATGTTGTCATCCTGCTTGCCTACTGTTGTCTGCAGTATTATTCGCACTCCAGCAGACGAACTGCTGCTAGTGCTAAGACGAAAACTACCGACCGCGTGGTAATGGATGCTTCTGTTTGACCAGAAAGTAGCGTATATTTTGGGGAAAATGTCTGACGGACAATTCAGCGATGCTGAAAGTGATGCTGAGTAAGTAAAGATGTTATTTTCCTTTCCTATTGGCCAAGCGACAGTGGCTGTTGTATGTTTATTTCAACATTGCCATGCTATGTGTAGGTTATTTTGTTTGTTTATGTCCCTGATTTTTCTAAACCAGTGTGTGGGAAAAGATAATTTTTTGATTTCTGATAATGGTATACTTCGTTCCTAGACTCTATAGTGGTGCTTTGGTATCTAAACTCACATATTTGGTTTGACAGGACATCTGCATCACCTGGTGCATCAAAGACCACTAGGCGTATGAAAACTCTGACACTATTTGATTGTATGGACAATTTGAAGCAGTCAGGCAATAGTGACATAAATTTTCACTTTCAGTCTAGTACAGAGGGACAAGATGAGTTAAACGATGGTGAGGATGAATTTTCAGATGATGATGATGACGACGACAATGATGACCTGTACGAATGGGGAACTGGCCAAAGTAAGATTCGTTTCTTCTTTCTTAAAGAAAAACAACAATTGTTTTAAAAGAAATCTTTTATCAGATTTTTAAGTTTATTGTATGTATATTTACACCTGTTACTGTGCTTTATTTTATTTTTATAGAAGATAAAGGCGTATTAACTAATGGAAAACACACACATCTTAATCAACAAACACAGTCCAATCGCGTCACTGACTTCCAACCTCAAGAAAAGCTTTTCAAACGCTTCTTGAATAAGATAAATGTTGAAAAGTATGAAGGCCCAAGTCTCCCTAATCATGCTACAAACAAATTAATTCAAAATGCTAAGAAAGCAGATGCTGATAGGTATGCTTAAAACCATATTTAATTTATACTTTGGAAGGTAAGAGTCTGATGACTATAATTCTGTTGCAGGATAAGAACTAAGGATAAACAGGATAGGGCAACCGCGGAACAAGTAATGGATCCAAGAACTCGAATGATCTTGTTTAAGCTACTGAATAGAGGAGTTGTTACAGAAATAAATGGCTGTATATCTACAGGGAAGGAGGCTAATGTATATCATGCAACTGGCAAAGATGGAAAGAACCTTGCTATTAAAATATATAAGACTTCAATACTTGTGTTTAAAGACCGTGATAAATATGTGAGTGGAGAATTTAGGTAAGGTATCTGCTGATTATTTACCCTGAATTATTGTCAATGTAAAGGATAAATGCAGTGATCATAAGATTTTATATTCTTATCAGATTTCGTCATGGCTATTGCCGTAGTAATCCAAGAAAAATGGTGAGAACTTGGGCAGAGAAAGAAATGAGGAACTTAGTGCGTATGCACACAGCCAATCTCACTGTTCCAGAGCCAATCCTATTACGAGGTCATGTATTAGTTATGGATTTTATTGGACATGAAGGGTGGGCTGCTCCCAAATTAAAAGTATGCATTGAGTTTAGATGATATTTGTGAGTGTGTGTTTTTCTTCTTTACTGAAACCAATAACAAAATTCCTCTTTTAGGATGCAGAGTTGTCTAACTCAAGAGCCTGTAAACTTTACAGAGATTGTGTTGTAATGATGTGGGCAATGTTCAACAAGTGCCACCTTGTTCATGCAGATCTTAGTGAATTTAATTTGTTGTAAGTAGATGACTCTTACTTTACAGTCATCCTCATTTTATCCAATAATTTATTCTTTTTTAACTAAAGTACCAAAATATTTTATTCTATTTATCTACTCTGTAGGTATCATGAAGGTATGGTTTATGTGATTGATGTATCCCAGTCAGTAGAACATGATCATCCTAGGGCTTTGGATTTTCTCAGAAAAGACTGCACCAATATTACAGGTTGGTTAAATGTGGGTTTTTCTTTACCCAATTTTTACTGCATGAACACGTGTAACTCATGTGCAGTCTCAATTCCTCTTAATTCTCACACATTATTTGTTTTGCTACTATCCAGAATTTTTTAAAAAACAAGGAGTTGCGACTATGTTAGTCAAAGAGCTATTTGACTTCATTACCGACCCTACTGTTACTGAGAATAATATGGAACAATATCTTGATCGAGTATCTGCTCAAGCTGCTGAAAGGGGTGATGATTTGTCTGCAGAACAGCAAGTTCAGGAAGAAGTTTTTAAAAATGTGTACATTCCCCGTAATCTTGAAGAAGTAAGTTCAGAGCTTGTGAATTTTGCAGTACACAAGATTGAAGTCCTTCAATTTGCCTAATACATGCATTTTTTACATTTTTAGGTTGTTCATATTGAACGTGATATTCGCCAGGCTAAAGAGGGTAAAGGTGAAGATCTTGTTTATAAAACTATTGTAGGTCTTAAAGAGGATCTTAGCACAGCAAAGGAACCATCAATCCTTGCTGAAGCCCAGGACAAAGAATGTGGTTCCAGCGATGGAACTGGAAGTGATGATGATGAAAGTTGTTCAGATGATGATGCACCTGACTCTGGTACCAAATTTAAAAGCTCTCCAAGACCAAAAGACGAATCTCCAGAGAGTAGGAAGGTAATTTTTTGAAGTTTTACTTTTTCATTTTGTATTATTTTCTTGACCATAAATTGTAGTTTTGTGCCTTTTTTTCTCTTTGTTTTACCAGGCTAGAAAAAAAGCCATTAAGGAGCAGCAGGCAGAAAATAGGAAAACAAAATTAAAGAAGCATGTGAAGAAAAGGAAAGAAAAAGCATCAAAGAAAAAATAGTTTTTTCCCTGTGTAGGATGTTTTTTAAAGAATAAAAAATGTCATGTTTGAAAATTTTCAAGCAATGCACAGTTGGTCCCAAATGTTACAGACCTGGTGAAATGTGTATCTATCTACATTTATAATAACAATGTATAATATATTTATAATAAAACTGCCTACATAATCTATCCATTTTCAAACTTTCCCTCTTTCTCAATTTTGAGTGTGGGTGCAAGCCAACGAGCATCAGGTTAAGAGACTGAAGTGGGAATATACTCGTCTCCCAGCATACGCTTCCGACTCCAACGGTCACAAGTGAAACGATAAAAATGCAGCGAAAGCCTTGCAACCAGAGGAGAACGGATCGCCGGCGTCGCTCTGACCGCCGGGGAAGAAGCCAAATATAGAGCGAAGGCGCGGGGAGGAGGATGGCAGGCACTGTGGCAAGGGGAAGGGTAAGACGGGACAGGAGCATTGTAAATCCGCCCGGCCAACCGCAGCGGCGGACTGGCGGGCTCGTCTGATCAGGCCATCCCGCAGGGACGGCTCCTAGCAGCGGTCCCCCGCGGGCAAGCTGACTCCCGCTCCCGGGCCGACCGGGCGCCGTACCACGGCCAGGGCCTCCACGGCGTCGCCCTCCGCTCGGCGGTAATACCGCGCAGGACCACCAGACGGAGACGCGGCGCGAGCAGCGTGTTCGCCGACGGGACGGACTCGTCGAGCTGCCGCTGCCCCCGCCACTGCCCAGGCCGCCCAGCCCAGCCCCTGCCTGCAGCTCGCTGGCACCGGGACAAGTCTCTGGCCTGGGCTAGGCTGCGGCCGAAGAATCGCCCTCCCCCCGGCAAGCCTCCCTCTTGGCGGGAGGGACCGAGAGGGCGGCTAAGACGCCGTTTCGGACGCCCCAGGCAAGGCCCCTGGGCCGGGCTGGTGCGGCGGCAGCTGAGCGCAGCTGAGCAGCTCGCTAGTCGTGGCTGAGCTTGGCGCCGCAGTGCCGGACCGGACCGCCGTCGCCCTGGGACCACCGCGGCACCTCCGCGACGCGCGCCTGCCGACGCTCATGCAGCTGCTGCTGGCACATCGGCCCCGCCCCGCCGCGCCCCGCCGCGCCCTGCCCCGCAGTGCCAGCACGCGCGAGGCCCAGCCCCTGGCGCCGCCCCTGGCTCAGTCGGGCACCTGAGAGTCCGCGCCCAGCATGAAGAGTGACCCCTGACCGGGCCAGGCCAGCCCCGGCCCGGCCGGCACGCCAAGGCTCCGCGCCGCCGCGTCGTTCAGCTCTGCGTCTCGGAATGACGAGGCTGGCTTCCCCGCGTGTTCTGACAGAGGCGTGTCCGCGAGACCGTGTAGCTCGTGCTTAGTGCCGGTCTTCGCGGAGCCCGGAGGGGACCGGGCCGGCGGCAACGCCGCACCTCAACACGGTAAGCGCAACGCCCGCGAACGAGCCGCGCACTCCCAACTCAACTGTCACTTTGCACGATCCATCTGCAGCACACAAAGCGGGCTGGGCTGGGCTATACTGGAAGCTGACCGGAGATACTCTGGATTTGGGATCGTCCAGAAGTGCGCCCGTTTTCCCAGTTCAATTCACCTACTGGCGGGAGCTCGGCGCCTGCACTATTCAGGGTAGGCCATCCCGCAGTACACCCATGCACTGCAAGCAAGATGTTGCCTACCTGACAGGCGCTATGAATGCTGGCATGAGCTGAACCCTCACCACGAACGGCGGGATAACTTTCTGGACGATCCTGGTTTTCGAATTTCGGTTCCAATCTTGGGTGCGGTCCGCAAAACTTTGGTATTTTGTCTGCGAAAAGGTAAACAAAACACTTACATTTTGAAGATTGCATCCCAGCTCGGGACCAAGGAGGTCTAAAAGTCCCGGACGGAGCTCTCTGATCAGCTTCCGGGTCTTTCTTTGCCTCTGAAGCTGCACATCAGTACAGCGCGTGGCTTTATGTCGCGGACACGGACGCTGCGGTGGACCGCAGGGTGCGGGGGGTGGCAGACGTTGACGGGACGCGCCGCCCTCTCCCCATTCCACCCAACGAGAGTGCACCGACCTGGGCACATGTGTGTTCCTGCCTGACGGTAACTAATGTGGACGTCGATACGCTGTGGGGCAGGCGGGAACATGGGGCGGCAGCGGGAGGGGGACGCCCGCCACGCGGTACGGGGCGTGGGGCGCGGCGAGACACGGTCCATGACTCCGCGGGACACACATGTCGCCCCCCAGCCAGCAGCTCCACACCCCGCCGCCCCACTCCTCTCGGGCGGGGCGCAGCACCTACCCTTCTCGTCATGTTCCAATTGCTTTTCTTTTTCACCTCCACTCTTCGCGCAAAAACCCCTGCCCTGCCAAGCGAGACCCGGCGGCTCGCCACCCAGCAGCGCGGCCGCGGCGACTTGGCGCGAAAGCGAGAAACTGCGAACCCGTGTCATTATGCCATCATCATCCCCTTTGCCCCCCCCCCTCTCCCCACCTGGGAGTTCCCTCCCATCGCGACGCCGCACACCGCGCCACCAGCGGGCGAAGCAACATGTAGGCCCACCGGCAGGGGTTGGTCTCAATGGAGCCGATACGGGCGCGAGAGAGACGCGGGAGGCTTACGTCAGCGCGGGCGGGCGGTGGTGGTGCACCGATGCCAATGAGCGGCTCATTTAGAGCTTTACAGTGACTGGTGAGCACCCCGGGTGATGCAGGCCCACGAGACCGCGCAGGAGGACCCTGACCACTCGGCTGCTCGCGGATCGCATTCGTCCAGGAGCGCGGCGCGCGGGGTGGCGTGGCGTGGCGCGGCGAGGTGCGGCGATGCGAAGAGCAAAGGCATTCAGGTGTGGAAGGGCGGGAGGGACGCCGGGGGGCGATGAAGGAAGAAGGGTAGCCGTACGCTGGCTGCCGGCCAAGTAGGCGGGTTTAGGTCCTGGCAGACACAATGTCTCCCCCCGCCCTCCCTCTCTCCATCCTCCCTCCACCCCCAGGAGCTTTACCCCAAACCTTTTCCCCCGCGCTTTGGCGCCGAGAGGTCCCGCCCGACGCACGCAGACGGTGCGTGTAACGCCGGTCGTCCACGCGGCGAGGATGAGGCAGCCGCGGAGTTGCCGTGCCGCACGGTACAATAAGTTTCTTGTATCTCAAGAGCCAGTCTTGGATCTTATGGATGGAGAACGCTAATGGTTTCCAAACCGTATCTTGAAATACAAGAAATTGTTTTTACCGTGCGTCGCCGCCGCCGCAAGTAGTCACCCCCATACAAACTGTCCAACTGACGATGACGCTTTCTTTTCCGACAGGTGCGGGAGATGGGGAGTTCCAGCAAAAAGGCGATCGGTGGCAGCATCCACCGCATTAGGGAGTTCGAGCTGGAAAAGGTAAGCATCGCACGAACGCCCGGGTAGTATTTGGGTGCCAAGTGTGGAAAGCAATATGGGAGGCGCTACACTTTTTTTGGCCGGCAAAGTCGGCAATATCGCGTATCCATTTCAAATGAACTTGTGTAGTGTTCCGTCTGGCATGGGGAGGCCATCGTAACACCCAACCCATTCACTTCAAGGCTATTGGGGCTTTGGCGAGCCGGGGCTAGGGCTGTGCTGAGCCATATCCCGACTTTGATGTTGCAGTACGGTATCGACAAAGTGTGTTTAACGTGGAATTGATTCATCGGTGTCGGCAGCCTATCGACCCCTTGCTATCAAGATGATATCGTATCGATATCGAGAAATCCTATAAACATCGCACAGCCCTAGGCGGGCCGTTGCTGCTCGCTTCGCGCTTTGCCGCTCTCATAGATACACATCAGATACTAAAATTATTCGGCTGATGCAGCAGCCGAGAGCGGCCTATGGCGTGGTGGGCGGCGTTCGGCTTTTGTTCTTGCGCCGCGCGAGGAGCGAAGGGAGGGAAATCTGGCGAGGCAGAAAGACACGCCGAATAAACAGGAGGCCTGTCGACGCGGGCAGCTGAGCGCTGCGTGGAGTGGAGAGGCGGGCGGGCGGGCGAGGGCGACCGCCGCAAGCGGATAGGGCAGGGCGCCCTGTGGGTAGGCAACCCAGCCACCGCTCGCACACCCGTGCTTCCACGTTGCCTACCTCACAGGCGCTCGGGTGTGCTGGAACCCAATTGTTGTATTTTATGCAAGGAAATCTTTCGTGCCGATTCTGAATTTAGTGTGTTTCGAACACGCTGGTTGCGTTCTGGAGCACGGTACTTGAACCCATGGAAGGTGAGATCTAGCGCCTGTCCTCTAACTAAGCAAGCAACAGCATCCCTCTGGCCAGAAGTCCTCTCCTCTGAAAATCTTAAGGAGAGCGAAAAGAGATGGGCATATCTTTCGTAACACCCTTATCATTCCGGAGAATCTCCTCGCGATCGAGGAAATTGTCCACACTTAAGTATCGCTTTTATTCGTAAGCCGTCTACTGCTCGGTCGCATGGTCAAAGAAAAGCGCGACTCGACCTACTTCGCAAATAATGCAGAACATTTTTTCTTTGTCTTACTAGCATTTATTTTGATGTTTTCGCGTCGGGCTGAAGACGTGCGCGACGCGAGACCCTAATGAGCCATCTCCCACCCCTTTTCTCCCCCCTTCTGGCTTTATTGCGGACACGGACGCTGCGGTGAACTGCGGGGTGCGGGGGGTGGCATACGTTGACGGGACGCGGCGCCCTCTCCCCATTCCACCCAACGAGAGTGCACCGACCTGGGCACATGTGTGTTCCTGCCTGACGGTAACTAATGTGGACGTCGATACGCTGTG